GAACTGTAAATCATCTGAGATTTTACCCTCCTTGCAAGCTTACAAATTATTCTTTCATAATTGTGATGGTGAAAGAATATATAAGTCGCTCCTGGGTCAGAGATGAAGGACAGTTTATTATTCAAAGCAACAGCAAGAACCAAAGTATTAGCATTTTTGCATAGGTTTCCTGAACTGATTCCCATAGGACAATGCAGAGAGGGCCAGGTGACACCTGCACATGCAGCAGGTTGTGTTACAGGAGAAGAATCCTAGCTTCAAGAAACCAAAGCTTTTACACTGAGGAGTTAAGTCTGCTTTCTACAGAAGGAGACACTACCTCTAACTCCCAAGGCTGTAAACAAACCTTTCCTTTGCTTTAGAAGGAGGTACGACCTCTATCTTTCAAGGTTGTTCACTACATAAACAGTCCCGAAAAGGTAGCTGGGAATAAAGCAGTCAGTGCCTCTGCTTGAAAAATATGCAGAAACATGAGAGACCCATGGAGAAACATCTGTCAACAGGAGGGACCTATGGTCAGATTCCTTTACAACATGTAGAAGTCTCCTTGTCATCTCCTCTGACTTCTCACTAAGCATGAATGGTGGGCAGCATAGGGCTCATTCGTTCAGGTCATGACGGAAACCTGAGGTTCATTATAAAAGATTCACTAGGAAGTAGCAGGGACAACCTTCCCCACAGGGACTCAAACTGCAGATGAGCAGTTTGATTGTAACCTTCAGTGACTACTATGACATGAAGAAACTGCAACACAGTCCAAAGCAGGTTGGTAGGCTCAGAGTGGCTGCTTCCATTTTATGGCTCACTATCTTGTGTTTTCAGTTACCTTCACAATCAACAAAGAAACTACTAGCACTATTAAGTGAGTTTAGCAAGATCTCAGAATACAAAGTCAATATAAAAAAATCAGGTGTATTTCTATGTACTGGCAGCACAAAATTGGTAATAAATTTTGAAAGTCAATTTCATTAATAATAGCATTAATAAATACAAATGACTTGCAAGATTGATTCAACAACTATAAAACATTGCTGAAGTTAAAGAATAAATGGAACACACATCCTGTTTATGGACTGGAAGACTACACATTATTAAGATGTCAGTTCTTCCTAAGTCAGTCTTTAGGTTTAATGCAATTTAATCAAATTTCCAAGAGGATTTTTAAAGACATATTAACAGATTGACTCTAGGATTTGTATGAGAGTAAACAACTTAAAATAACTTAAAATAGACTTATAAATAACTTAAAATAGACAAATAAATTTTGAAAAAGAAAAGCAAGGCTGGATGACTTAGATTACCTGATTTTAAGATTTACTATACAACTAGTAATTAAGTACTGGTATAAGGATGGTCAACTAGATCAGCGGAATGGACTACAGAATCCTGAAGGAAACTCACATTTATATGACCAATTGGTTTTTGACAGAGACATCAAATCAATCCAGTGAAGAAAAGGAAAGTCTTCTCAACAAATGGTGCTTACACAACCAGAAATCTGTATGGGGAAATAAAAAACCTCATATCCCACTCAAATATTAATTTGAAACAAACGGTGATCTACTGAGACCATGGAATACAAAGTAATAAAAAGGAATTAAAATATTGATCCACACAACAACTTGGATGAACCTCCTGGGGACTTATGGCTTGTGATCCTTGACTGGGAAGCTGCTACCCAACACGTTTCTATACTGTGGAAAGGGTGCATGATACCTTTACAAGAGCAACAATAATACTGGTTTTAATGTCAAGAAATTTTGAAACACATTACCTCTCTCCACAACATTCCTGAAAGGTAGGTCTTATTTCCCTATTTAAAGATGAGGAAACAAGCTGGGCATGGTGGTGGGCACCTGTAGTCCCAGCTGCTTGGGAGGCTGAAGTGGGAGGACTGCTTGAACACAGGAGTTCCAGGCACCTGGCAACATAACAAGACCCCATTTCTTAAAAAAAAAAAAAAAAATTAAAGATGAGGAAACTAAGACTGACTGAATAAACTGAAGTAGCTTCACCCAAGCTTAGACAGGTAGTAGGTGTACCTGTGATCCAGCCCACATCTGTCTGACCCTAAAGCTCCCAGTTCTACCACTCCCGGCTGCCTTCCTCAGGGCAAGGTACAGGAGGGACCTGCTGTTACTTGTGGAAAAAAGAAGACATTACACCCGGAAGGAGAGAGGAGTCAGGTTAGACGAAGATGTGTATATACATTCTTATCTTCTACGATGAAAAACGGGAAGGTATCTGAGGAAATACAGCCTGCTTTGGTCTATGATTTCCTCTTAAAGTGAGAAGGGTCATTCTTGTTTTACAGAGTCACATCAGTTCTGAAGTATTTTGATAAAGAAAATGCTCCTAGTGTCCAATCTGGGTCTCAGAAGGGTTTCCTTTGAGTAAACCACCACCTTGTGGCAATAAACATGAGTTGCTAGAGGAAGAGTTTGGTTTTTAATCTTTCGAACTCTAAAACATCTCAGTAGCCCTTAAAGTTAGCAGGTTTTGCATTAAAATAAAACAAAAAAGTACATCACTGAGGGAAGGGCTGATTAAAAATAGATACATTTGGAAAAAAATCTGACTTTGGGATAATAAATAAAAACATTGACCCAGCTGGGAGCGGTGGCTCATGCCTGTAATCCCAGCACTTTGGGAGGCCGAGGCAGGTGGATCACGAGGTCAAGAGATGGAGACCATTCTGGCCAACCAACATGGTGAAACCTCGTCTCTACTAAAAATACAAAAATTATCTATGCATAGTGGCACATGCCTGTAGTCCCAGCTACTCGGGAGGCTGGGGCAGGAGAATTGCTTGAACTCGGGAGGCAGAGGTTGCAGTGAGCCGAGCCATCATGCCACCACACTCCAGCCTAGGCGACAGAGCGAGACTCTGTCTCAAAAAACAACAACAACAAATAAAACAGAAAAAAAAATAAAACAAAACAAAAAAAACCATTGACCTATGTCACAAAACATGTAAAAGATGGAAGTTTTATTAAAAAGCAGGAGTGACCCAAGGTGATTCATCTGGGAAAAAACTGATGAGGTTCCATGTTGTCCAAATTGTACATTTTTTTTTCTTTGAGACGGAGTCTTGTTCTGTCGCCCAGGCTGGAGTGCAGTGGCACAATCTTGGCTCACTGCAACCTCCGTGTTCTGGGTTCAAGCGATTCTCCTGCCTCAGCTTCCCAAGTAGCTGGGATTATAGGCATGCAACACCATGCCCGGCTATTTGATATTTTTTTTAGAGACAGGGTTTCACCATGTTGGCCAGGCTGGTCTCGAACTCCTGACCTCAAGTGATACACCTGCCTCGGCCTCCCAGAGTGCTGGGGTTACAGGCGTGAGCTACTGCACCCAACCCAAACTGTACACTTTTGAAAGTGAGAGGGGGCCGGGCGCGGTGGCTCAAGCCTGTAATCCCAGCACTTTGGGAGGCCGAGACGGGCGGATCACGAGGTCAGGAGATCGAGACCATCCTGGCAGGCCGAGACGGGCGACTGACGAGGTCAGGAGATCGACCATTTCATGGCTGAAGACGGTGAAACCCACCTACTAAAATACAAAAAAAAAAACTAGCTGGCGAGGTGGCGGAGCCTGTAGTCCCAGCTACTCCGGAGGCTGAGGCAGGAGAGATCATGAACCCGGAGGCGATGCCTTGCAGTGAGCTGAGATCCGGCCACTGCAGCCCAGCCCGGCTGGCAGAGCAAGACTCGTCTCAAAAAAAAAAAAAAAAAAAAAAAAAAAAAAAAAAAAGAAAGTGAGAGGGGTTGCTATTAATAATTGCAGGGGTCAACAGGTGAAAAGTGGGGGTGTCCCGGCACACTGGGGACATGTGGTTTACCTAAATTTGTTTCTGAGGTCTAGCCTAGCAAAGATGTGGGTACATTTTGTAATAGAGACCACATGGTAAGAAATTTAACCCTTTCAGAAAGAATAAATGTCACTATCTTTCCGTGCACTGGCAGGGGGAGTTTAGCATCTGATTTGAATTTTATTTTGGAAACTAAATTCTAAGGGAGATTCCACACATTCAAGAGCTTGAGCAACCACCACCTTGTGGCAATGAACACAATTTGCATCTAGTCAACTCAGTTTGCAATGCAGTGTCTTAAGGAGTGACTGTGGCTCTGAGCAATATTATCATGGAACTGAATATTGCCATGGGACTGAATGCAAGAAAAGAGTAGGTGGATTCAGAGCTGAAGTGGGAGAAGGCAGGATGACAGGTAGGAAGATGTTCAGTCTTCAGTATATCCATCGCCCTGTACTTCACAGAGGGTTGCTGGGTACCTTATGGCCAAGCAGGGTATCAGCACTCCCTGGATGGAAATCATTTGGTGTATGCTTCACTTGGGAAGAATTCATATCTTAACAATATGAATTCTTCCTATCCATGAACATGGAATATTTCTTCATCTATTTAAATCTTCGAGATTTCTTTCATTAGCTGTGATTGATTCCTAGTTTAATTCCATTGTAGTCAGAGAACATACTTTGTTCTATCCTTTTAAATTTGTTAAGCTATGTTTTATGGCCTAGTTGTGGTCTATCTCAGTGAATGTTCCATGTGAGCTTGAGAAAGAATCTATATTCCGCTGTTGTTGAATTAAGTATTGTATAAATGTCAATTAGATCAATTTGATTGATTTTTTCAGTTCAACTATATCCTTGCTCATTTGCTGCCTGCTGGATGTATTAAAATGGTATTAAAATATTTTAATGGTATTTTTTAAATGGTATTAAAATATTCTATTATAATAGTGAGTTTACCTATTTTTCTTTGCAGTTTTATCTTTTTTTGCCTCACATATTTCGGTGCTCTGTTTTTAAGTACATACATGTTAAGTATTGTTATGTCTTCCCAAATAATTGATCCCTTTACCTTTATGTAATGTCCCTGTTTATACTTGATAAATTTCCTTGTTCTGAAGTCTGCTTTTCTTGAAATTAACGTAGCTACTTCAGCTATTTTTTTAGTTAGTGTCAGCCTGGTATAGCTATCTCTATTTTTTTGCTTTTAATGTATTTTCTTGTGGATAACACACAACTGGGCTTTGTTTGTTTTTGAAATCCACTCTGACAATCTCTCTTTTAATTGGTGTAATCAGGTTATTCACATTTAAAGTGGTTATTGATAGAGTTGGATTAATATCTACAATGTTTGTAACTGTTTTGTATGTGTCTCAGTTGACTTTCATATCTAATTTTGAATTTGTAATTTCATATTCTTTGTCTTAAAGAGAACGCTTGTAGACCCCTTAAAATCTGGAGACGCCCCCTACCTTGCACACATTTTACCGGTATGTGACGGTAGAAAAGCTGCATAGCAGTCTTGGCAGGCGGGGCAGGAGGGACGCAGGGATTCACAGATGCGACTGTGCAACGCACAGATGCACTGGGTCTTTGCCTGGTGGGTTCAAAGCCTCCAGACGCTGACAAACGCTGCAGCCAATGAGTGGGTTCCCATAGTCCGATATGGAGGGCAAGGGGCGGGACTCCCTCCTGCCTCTCGCTGGCTGGGTTCAGAGTCTCCGCGAAGAGACTGCGTTGGGCCCAGAGTGGGCGTGGCTTACGTGTCCGCCGGCTTTCCTGGCAGGCCTGGCAGGGGGGCCAGGTTGCCATGACGACCGCGGCTAGGTCGATGCAGACTCGGTTGGTGACTCCGGGCGCGTCGAAGATCGTGTACCTGTCGTTCGCAGTGGCTCAGTTTCCCAGTAATCCATAAGAACAGCAGGGATGACAGGGTCCCATGTCGGTTTTTGGTTCGAATTCCTCGACTGGAGACCCTCTGCCCGGCAGGCTGCACTGCGCCCCGCGCACTGACTCCGGCCTCTGCGGGAGCCCCCTGGCCGGCTCCGGGGTGGGGAGGGGGCTTTGCAGATCCCCAGAAAACCGCCCGGCGAGCCACGAGCCCGCTTCCTCGTGGGGTGTTCACTTTGTGTCAGTGTGTTGATTTGCCGCCAGTTAGAAGCATCTTAAAAAGGGGCCGGGGGCCATAGGAGGGGGGCTTATCTGAAGGAGGCTCTGGGCTTGCCGATCCACGCAGCGGTTTGTCGCGAGGCTGCGGGGGAACGGCCCACGGCCGCGGTAACAGGGCTTCGTCTTCTTTGCAGAGCCATGGGCAGCAGGAAGAAGGAAATTGCCCTGCAGGTAAGCCTCAAGGGGCGCTAGCTTCCAGCTCTGGGTTGGGCTCGGGGAAGAGGAGGGTGATTGGAGCGGGGTTGTAGTATAAAAGTGACATTTTGTTTGCTAGCAGTATGTGACAGTGTTCCCAAACTTGAGTGATGTACCCTTCCGTCTTAAAGGGCCAAAACTTGTCTTGGAACCCCAGTGATGACAAATTTTATGCAAACAAAATTAATGCAAACAAAACTGAGTAGAAGCTGTTTATATTTATAGTGCGTATACAACCATAAAACCTAAACATGCATTAAATAAAACTACAAACCAAGAAAATATGAGTCAACGTAACTCGATGTGACCGTTATTTTGTTACTGTTGTTGAAATGTAACTGCAGCTTGCACAGAGAATACAGTATAGGTTCTTTTGACTTTGGGCATGAGTCTGTAACTGTGTGCTCTGTGGAGACCCAGTTTTCCCACCACTGTTCTCATCAAATTTCACTTATTAACAGATATGTTTTGAGATATATTATGTGCTGGGCATTTGTTATATAGAGTACCTTACTTCATTTGCATGGGGGACAAGTGAATTCAGAAGCCAGCAACTGCTCTTTTTCTTGGTTCTGGACAATAAACAGTGGTTGATTGTGAAGTGATGGTAAAAACATGCAGGAATAGACCCTGGAATTGAGAGGGAGTGCTTTGTCATAAGGAGATCATCTGGATGATCTGCAACATGGGAACACTTTAAAACAAACTTTAAAATGTCTCATCATCAGCTGGTCCCAGTAAGATGCATACTAAGGCTACAGCGCCTCCTAGATAATAGAGCTTTAGCGATTTTGAGACATCTGCTTTCTCTCTTATTGTCCTCGGTAGGACAGTTTGCATGTGGATTTCAAAAGTCTAGTGGTTTAAAAAAGAGGAAAGGGGAAAGCAGCATCATTCTAAGGGTACCCCATGCTGGGGGTGGGAGGCGTGGGGGGTGGGGTGGGATTTTTAGACTGGAAGTCAGAAGACCTGATGTAGTTCTTGTGTCCTCTATAGCCAATTGTGTCTGACTACATCACATACCCTCTCTGGGCTATAGCTTGCCCATCTATGGAATGAGGATGTTGTGTGAATTATCCCTAAGGGCCTTCTTCCAGCCTTGATATTCTAGGATTCTAGAGTCAGAAAGCACTTCATATATGAATGTTCTGGTTGAAGTAAATTCTGAGCAACTGGTCCTACCATTCATTGCTGTGTGACTCATTTCCTCAACCCTCTGGCCTCCGTATCTTTTACGTAGACAGGAGGGATAATACCTGTCCTTTAACGCCTGCAGAGCTGTGATGAGACTCCTTTAGACACTTCCTGGCTGGTCTGATGCGGTCTGTGGTGTCTCTAATGTTATTGCCCCATATTATGGTCATTTCATGTGTTGATGCCCTAGATCTCCTATGGCGGTAATAACTTTTGTTAGCAATGTTGTTATTTTTTCATGTGTATTACTCAGAGCTCTGAGTACAATGCAGTACTCAAAGTAAGTGCTCCCTCCTGCTGAGGGAGGAGAGCGAGTGGCCTCCCTCCCCTCTTACACTGAGGCATCTGTGTAAAGGTCACCTCTCTATAAGGTAAACCCCTCGAAAGCAGTGCCTAAAGTTGGCCAACCCAGGAAACTTGTCCTCTCTCTCAGCAAGGTTATTCGGGGTTCCGTTTATAACTGAGACAGACAGAAATCACACGACATCAAGGGATAGTCTGGGTAAAAGGTGCCGCACATTCCCTATTCATTCCCTACCAAATGCAAGGCTTAGTGAAGTCCGGATAGTTCCCACACCGTTCTGCTCTTGCCTGGCTCCCAGGGCTGAGATTCTTCAACTGCCCAGAGTCCTGGCCCCAGAGCTGGTGGGACTCACTCTGTGACAGAGGTGGGCCACAAAGAGTTGCTGGTGACTTAAGTCTGAGCCTCTGGGTAGGGGTGGGGGGTCCTTCTGAACGCTTCTATCACTTTCCTCAGGACTATAGTTGTGGGCCCAAGGTTATATCAGTCCAGCTCTCTTACTTCATTTAAGGCATCAAGAAGACTCTTCTGGGTTTTTCTTCTACTTTTCATTGAAACAAAAAAAGTAAGGAGTATGCTTCCTGAAAAGAGAGACTTTCTTTTTTTTTTTTTTTTTTTTTTTTTTTTTGAGACAGTCTCATTCTGTCCTGTCGCCCAGGCTGGAATACAGTGGCACGATCTCATCTCACTTCAACCTCCACCTCCCAGGTTCACCAATTCTCATGTCTCAGCCTCCTGAGTAGCTGGGAAAACAGGTATGCGCCACCACGCCCGGCCAACTTTTGTATTTTTTTTTTTTTAGTAGAGGCAGGGTTTCACCCTGTTGGCCAGGCAGGTCTCAAACTTCTGGCCTCAAGTGATCTGCCCGCCCTGGCCTCCCAAAGTGTTGGGACTACAGGCATGAGCCACTACGTTTGGCCAAAAAAGGGGCTTTTAATAGAGGATTAGCAGGTGTTACATGTTTCTTGCCCTTATTGCCAATAATGCATCCTATCTTTTTTAAAGGGACATAGACCTTGGCATACCTGTATTAAGAACAATAGTAGGCCAGGTGTGATGGCTCATGCCTGTAATCCCAGCACTTTGGAAGGCCGAGGCAGGTGGATCACTTGAGGTCAGGGGTTCACAACCAGCCTGGCCAACATGTTGAAACCCTGTCTCTACTAAAAATACAAAAAATTAGCCGGGTGTGGTAGCGGGCACCTATAATCCTAGCTACTTGGGAGGCTGAGGCAGGAGAATCGCTTGAACCCAGGAGGCAGAGGTTGCAGTGAGCCATGATCATGCCACTGCACTCCAGCCTGGGCGACAGAGCGAGACTCCATCTCAAAAAACAAACAAAAAAACCCAGTAGTAATTTTTGTGGTCTTTTAATTTATATCATTTCAAAGTAGCTCACCACAAAAATATGTTAATTACAAAGAAAAAGGGAATAATTTTACAGACAACAGGCCTGGCAGACCATGTTAATCCAGTGATCAAAGTGAACATCAGTAATAGGCAGATGGAAACTGTGTCTCACCTGCTAGGGAGTAGTGAGAGGAATGATCTTCAGCTTCTCCAGCACTCCAACCAGTCCATCCAATTTCAACCAGTCCAAACATGCACAGCCTGAATCCAATCAGGAGGAAACATCACATATGCCCCAACTGAGGGACACTCTACAAAATACCTGGCATGTAATTTTCCAAAGTGTCAACATTGTGAAAAGAAGAGAAAGACTAAAGAACTATTCCAGACTAAAGAGACTTGACAAATAAATCTAGCACATGTTTCTGATTAGCTCCTTTGCTACCCAGGACATTATGGGATAAATAGGAAAAGTTGTACTCTATCTAAGGATTAAATGTTCACAATATGTCAGTGTTTTTTTCCCCTAATTTTGATTATTGTATTGTGTTACATAGGAATAATATATTCAGGAGTAATAAGATAACAAGCTGTAATTTACTTCCAACTACCTAAAAAAAAAATCCCTAAATCTTTATACTGTACTTGCACACTTTCTGTAAGTTTGAAATTATTTCACAGTAAAAAACATTATACAGAAATGTTTACTATTGGCCAGGCGTTGTGGCTCACGCCTGTAATCCCAGCACTTTGGGAGGCTGAGGTGGGCAGATCACTTGAAGTCAGGAGTTCGAGACCAGCCTGGACGATATGGTCAAACCCGGTCTCAACTAAAAATACAAAAATGGCCAGGTGTGGTGGTACGTGCCTGTAATCCCAGCTACTCAGGAGGCTGAAGCATAAGAATCGCTTGAACCTGGGAGGCAGAGGTTGCAGTGAGCTGAGATTGCGCCTCTGCACTCCAGCCTGGGTGACAGAGCCAGACTCCATCTCAAAAAAAAAAAAAAAAAAAAAAAAAAGAAATTTTTACGTTAATGAAGAGGGATAATATGTATTTTTCCTTGTATTTCATATTTATAAAACCAGAACTCTGTGGATAAGAAAAAAAATGTGAGTGAATGGCAATAAATTCAACTTAATTCTGATACTAAGTGAAAACACAAATTTCAAAATGAGACCTACAGTTTGATACATTTATGTACATTTTAAGGACACAAAAACAATTTATATATTGTTCCTGGACAAATAACATGTAAAATTATTTTTTAAATGCCAGAGACTAGTACACATTATTCTTAGGATAGTGTTTTTTTCTGGGTAGGGAAGGAGGGAGAAAAGGAAGGAGAAAAGAAGACGGGGGAGAGGATAACTTGAACTGTACTTGTAAGTATTTCAGAGATAGAAAGATAGAAATCTAGAGCAAATAGATTGAATTATTTCCCTGCCTGAGCCCTCAGTAATACAGCATTTGATCCTCTTTGGCTTTAGGTCAACATCAGCACCCAAGAGCTTTGGGAGGAAATGCTCAGTTCCAAAGGACTAACTGGTAATTCAAAGTAAAATAACTTTTTAGATACATTCTTTTCTAAATTATTAAATGGTGTGATGAACCATGAAGAAAAGGGCTGCAATGAACACTACTTTCCTATTACCTTGAACCTCATAAAAAACCAGATGGGGTGTGTGTGTGTGTGTGTGTGTGTGTGTGTGTGTGGCTTGAACATCAGTAAATTCAGTTCAGGAAATAAGTCAGTACTCAGGGTTGTTTGGTGTTAAAAGTAACAGAAAACCTCTTCTGATTACCTCAGGCACTAAAGGAGAATGCATTGGAGGGAATACAGGGATCTCTTGGAACTCAAAGGATGGAAGGCGAGCCAGGCATCACTGGGACTTGAACCTGGGACTGCAGTCATTAGGAAACAGCAGGCCACTGTCTATGGGCCTCCTCATCCCCATCCTCCTGGCACCAGTTATTTGTTGCTGCCTAGCAATTTACCCAGAAACTTAGTGGTTTAAAACAACAAACATTGATTATCCCAGTTTCTGTGGGTCAGGAGTTCAGGTACAGCTTAGTTGGCTAGCTCTGGATCAGAGTGTCTCACCATGGTAGTTAAGGTGTCAGACGGGATCT